ACGCAATTGGTCGCTGCCGTGGCAGCGAGGNCAAATTACGCGCGCGGGAAGCGGGATCTCAATAACAATTTCCCTATGCTCGGCCTCTAGGGACATTTTGATAGCGCCTTAAGCACAGTGCCTGTGCGGATACGCCTTAAGTATTGCGGATACGCCTTAATGTAATTGGGGGTTGTTCCGCTCGGTGTCGCCCCGGTAGGCGACAGCAACGCACCTGTCACGCGGATTTACCACCAGACAACAACAATTAGGTAAGTATAATAAATAATAAAATAAAATATTAAAATAAATAAATTTTTGACAGGTGCAGCAGATCGATGCGACGCGGATGCGCGGATGTGGTGGACGTTCTAACCCCGAGGTGCCTGCCGGATACGCCTCTGCGCACAAGTGTCATCAGCCGCAATCTTTTTGTTAATTATGAGGGTAATTTTTTGTTTTTTATTAATAATTTATATATTGTTGGGATCGGGGGGAGCGCGCGATCCCAACTTACTATATATTAACCCTCACTTTATTATTTTTAACACTAAAAATGTCAATGATGCTCCCCCTTTGTTTTCAGGTTATGCGGTCTGGTGACTGCCAGCAGAGGCGTGTAAATGAACAAATAAGATAGGTATAATTAAGTAACAAGTGCAGGCACCTATTGCAGGCACTGTGCAATAATAATCCCTGTAAATTTGTGATTTCAGCGATAGGCGAGCAGAGGAAGTACTGCACAAGACAGGAGTTCAACGATTACACCTAACCTAGCCTGTCAAGGTGCTGCAGATAGAGATTGCTGCAAATATTTGATGTTAATAATATCAGGAGGTGGGTGGCTAGTGTAAAAATAAAAACGTTTGAAATATATAAACAGTTATCTCCTTGACCGTAGAACCGCTCTGCACACGGGTAAAAAGAAATAAAAGTGTGCAGAGCAATGTATTCACAAAGTAAAATAAAGTTTGTCAAAGAGAATAAAAAAAAAGAGATATGAAATTATTTCCACCCACTCTCCCGCAGCTGCAGCACCAGGACCTGTATAAAAAGATGGAGTAAAAAGGAAGGCAGGTGTATTACAATATATATTTTTCTCTTTATTCAAAGTTTTGTCCGTAACGGACAGAACTCCTGTCGACACACACAAGGACGATGATGACGCAGCACAAACGAAGACACACAGATATACACCTAGCGGGCGACACACACGAAATAGAAAATAAAAAAATATAAAAATAAAATAAATAGAAGACGGACGCGCACCAGTTAATAAAATAAATAAATAAATAGATAAAAATAATAGAAAAATAAAACGCGCACACGCACTATCCCGCCAGGTGTCTCGCACTTCGCCTAACCCGAAAAATCACTTTCTCGATGAGACCGAGCTCCTATCTCCTGGAGCCGAAAAACTAAATATAAAACTCACTTTTAGAAACACAAATGTCCTCTTCTCCTTGACAACGGGAAATCGCCTCCCCCGGGCCTCCAGAGTAGTCGCGGAACACAGAACACACACGAAAACGCGAAAATACTCTTTTCGAAAAGCGACTTTTCGAAAATTCGCTTCAGGCCCGGTAAGGCCTCACTGGCTCTAAAACAGTTTTATTAAACTGATTTTTGGAACTGTCTTTTAATTATTCAATGCTGGGCCAAACCCGGCGGCACTGCAAAACCGGGATGACCCGCGACGGAGCCGGAGCAAGCTCCGGGCGTCCGTCCAGTTCCAAAAATCAGTTTAATATTCTGAGACCGCTTTGCGGTCTGTATCAGATATTAAGCTGATAAGAACAGAGTAACTATAGTTTATTTTTACCAATTAATGTTCCCCGGGGGGACAAGCTCCCCCGGGGTGGTATACAAGTGAGATATATGGGCGGCATATGCCATCCACGCTCGCGCGCAAATTATTAAAAATAAAAATTGGCCGGGGACATAGCCCCCCCGTCTAGGAGGCGCAAAAAAACTCCGCGAGAGGGGGCACATACTTACCCTCTCCAGTGAGGGGTAAGATGCACCCCCTCATCGCGGCTAGGGTGATTGTAATAAAATATCGCCCCAGCTAACCGGCTGGGGCGATACTTACAATGTGCGC